AATTTTTTAAAATTAAACACTATCTAAAGATTTGCGCCGAAGTGTTTTTTATGATAGTGATTTTAATCACTGTCAGATATCATAATACTTGATCCATCTATGCCACTGTGTCGCGAACCCCCTGTGCTGGGTTGGGTTTTTTCAATTTTTTTTACTTAAAATTGCTATAACTTTTTTAAAAATAACCAAATCAATATAATTCTTTTTTATATTTTTAACTTTATAATGCTATAACTTTTTGAAAAATGTATGGATCAATATAATTTACTTTTTTATAGATGCATAATATCATTACCTTTCATTTTTTTTTTATATGTGACCCTTTACTTGCCCATTTAAAATTACAACTTTTCCACAAAAAATTATTTTTTTCTACTTCATTTTTGAAAATGTTCCGGTAGGTGTGACACTTTTATATATATCTTAAATTAAAGCTAATGTAATATACTTTATCATGCAAAAAAAAAATNTAAAGCTAATGTTATATACTTTATCATGCAAAAAAAAATTTCAGACTTTATTTTATCTTCAGGGTGAAAATGGCTATCGAATGCTATTTTTGTGTGAAAATTTTCGATTTTGTATTTTACATTTTTAATTTTATTATGCTATAACTGTTTGAAAAATGTATGGATCAATACAATTTTTTCATGAGAAGTAGTATTTATATCTTTCATTCGACATACTGTTTTCTTAAATCGGACCATTTCCCTATATACGAGAGGGGTTTAAATCTAAAAAATTCATATAGAAAGTAGAACTTTTTTAACTAAACTTTTGNATAAAAATGCATATAGAAAGTAGAACTTTTTTAACTAAACTTTTGAAAGTGTTCCGGAATGTCTGACACTTTTATATATATCTTAAATTAAAGCTTATGTAATATATTTTATAATGGTAAAAAAAAATTTCGGACTTTATTTTATCTTCATGGTGAAAACAGAAATCAAACTTAATAAAAAAAACCCATCACAGTGTCGTCGTGGCACAGTGGTGACGTGTCATAGTTGGATCAAGTATAATGATATCTGACAGTGATTAAAATCACTATCAAAAAAAACGCTTCGATAAAAATCTTTAGATAGTGTTTAATTTTAAAAAATTGGTGGATTATTCCAAAAGCTTCATAAACTGCTAGTTCCTTATTAATATCCTGATTAAGACAAAGTATGTCGAATAAAAAAGAGATTATTAGAAAATAGTATTTCCCATAAAAAAATTATATTGATCAATACACTTTTCAATAAGTTATAGCATTATAATGTTAAAAATGTAAAAAAAAAAATTGAGAATTTTCACACAATAATAGCATTTGGTAGCCATTTTTTTTGTCACATTGAGAGCTGAGAAAAAGTGGTAAAAAAAAAAAACACATCATAGTAAAACCAATACCTTCTTAGCTTTGCATCGAAGCTAAAATACGATATTTGTAAAAAAATTCTTTTTTATATTTTTAACTTTATAATGCTATAACTTTTTGAAAGATGTATGGATCAATATAATTTTTTTTTTATAGATGCATGATGTCTTTACCTATCATTTGGTATATATTTTTTTTCATATCTGACCCTTTACCTGTACACACGGGGGGATTTAAAATGACAATTTTTTCACATAAATTGACTTTTTCAACTTAAATTTTGANTTTTTCACATAAAATTTACTTTTTCAACTTAAATTTTGAAAGTGTTCCGGAAAGTCTGACACTTTTATATATACCTTAAATTAAAGCTAATGTAATCAACATTATTTTTTTATGAGAAATAATATTTTTTAATAATCCGTTTTTCATTCGACATACTTTATCTTAATTAGGATATTAATAATGAACTAGCAGATCATGTAGCTTTTGTAATTATCCATCAATTTTTTAAAATGAAACACTATCTAAAGATTTGCATCGAAGCGTTTTTTTTT